CACACGAGGAACACCCTTGTCAAACGCATAGTTAGTGAGTTGCTTCGTCTACCCTTTAAGCTCTTTATCGCGGGGTAAACGGATTTCTGTGTGCATATGTCATAATTGCACACATAAGTTCCATTTCACGCTATTGATTTGATGGAGGCTAGGAGTCCGACAATGGATCCGAAAAGGGATTGCGTGATGACGGTACGTAAACGAGCACCTACTGTGTTATCCGCAAAAGTGTAACCAATTTTACGTTTAGACCGTGTATTTTCTACGCAAATCAGTAATGTAAATCCTCATGCGTGTCGGCATTTAGCAGCAAAACAAAGGAGAGGATTCGTTAACCTAGGTGGAAAGTTGGGAAAATGAATAAGGGTGATGGGCTTTTAGTGGTATGCAGTGTACTGTGCTGTTTAAGCTAGCTGGATGAAATCCATCGCGAGGGCATCAACTGAAGTTCAAGCAGCGGTCACTTAGCTGGATATCAGGGCAAAATTCTTTGTGAATCACTTAGGCAATAGTTGGAATACACTACCTCCAGCATTAATAGAATGCCGCATCGCACAGGCCTTTAATATAGGCCTAAATAAACGTTGCACTGAAACTTTTCCTGCATTATTATAATTTGGCTGCGTTGTAGTGTCTGACAGAGGGAGTTATAACCGCTGCGAATAGGACCTTAAAACGGTTACTCACGGTCAGGTAAAGCTAGGCGAAAATCAACAAACCTGTCCGATGGCACGAACGGAGGAACCGAACGCCGATCGTAAATAGAGGTCCGACGACTGATGCGAAGCACACACAACACTCGAAGGCGGCACGTCACCGCAACCAGAAGACGAACGAAATTCAAAGATGAGTATATAACTTGTTGTGTGAGTTAAAACGAATAAACAAAAATCGCCAAAAGATAAAATAGGAAGTTACAAGGAAAATGTGAAGAATTCATAAACAATACAAAACTCTCCTTCTAGAGCGTGATTCGGGAGAACGAACGCCCGAAATTTGTGCGTTTTTGGTGGTCATTATTTTGGAAGGCAAATCAACAGCGCTTCCAGAGCGTGTGTGCTTTGGTGCGAATGGCTCAGTCACTGGTTTGGTGGAGGGTGTAGAGGGGGCACACAGAGTTTATACATTGGCTGGGTAGGAGGGGTACTAGGAAACGTCTGTTCGGTAGCTGGTAATGTTTTAGTTTCAATGTGCCCTGGTTTTAAGCGATCAAAGCTCAGAGAATCCTTCGCACCGTTTATATCCAATACGAAGTATTTCTCTTTGCGAGCCGGAAATTTGAAATGGCCCTCATACGGTGGTGTCAAGGGTTTAAGCACCGCATCGACGCGCACAAAAACGAAAGGGCAGGTAGGCAATTCAGAGTGGACCTGCTGATTTTGAGGGCTGAATCTGGGCGGTGTTGGCCAGACTAAAAAAATGTTGTCGCACTCGTACCACATAGGAAGTCGGGCCTAGTTCGCCAGTGATTCTGGAATCTAACACTGTCTCACCAGAAAGTTTGAGAGTTGTGCCGAAAATCAGTTCAGTGGGGCAACAACCTAGGTCTTCTTGACCGTGTTGCGAATGCCGAGAAGGATAATTGGTAGCTGTTCGGACCAGTGCGTGCTTGCTTTTGATGCGGTAATTGCGGCTTTCAGTTGCCGACGAAAACGTTCCACAACACCGTTGGCGGCTAGATGGTAGGCAGTCTTTTGCAGATGACAACAGCCGAGTGAACGATTGAGGTCTCGAAAGAGAGCGGAATTGAACTGGGGACCTCTGTCTGTTGTGATCGTGGCCGGGGTGCCAAACACAGCTATCCAGGTTTCAACGAAGGTCCGGGAAACAGTTTCGTTGGAAATGTCTCCTAAGGGTATTGCATGAGGCCATCGTGTGAAACGGTCGACACAGGTCAGCAAATACTGGAAACCGTTGGATGGAGGATGTGGTCCAACGAGGTCAAGGTGGACATGTTCGAATCTGGCGTCGGGTAAAGCAAATGTGCCAGGCACGGTGACCGTGTGCCGATGTATCTTGCTAGTTTGACAAGTGACACAAAGCTTCGCCAATTTTTGGATGTCGGAACGCATATTGTGCCGAAGATACATTTGTCAAAATTAATCCTCACGCCGTACTGAGCAAAACGCTTGAAGATAAGACGGAGATGTGACAGGTGTTTCTCATCGTTCAAACTGGCGACGAGAATGTCGTCGGTGAAGGCGAAGAGGAAGTCTAGCCCTCTTGAGGCTTGTTCAATGAAGCACATAAAGGCTTAGGCGGCGTTTCGCCATACGAAGGGCATACGGTCACATTCATAGAGACCGAAGGGGTAGTAATAGCGGTCTTTGGGATGTCATCAAGAACGACAGAAATGTGATGGTATGCACGAAATTGGTCGATTGTAGAGAAAACAGACATTCCGTGCAACTAGCTAAAAATCATGGATATGAAAACGTGGGTATCTATCGGGAACAGAGACACTGTTGAGCGTACGGTTGTCTTCACATGGTCTCCAATCGCCGGTCTTCTTGGGCGCCAAATGAAGCGGAGATGCCGGCAGCTTACGGAAGGGCGTATGATCCCGAGCTTAAGCATGCGTTCGAACACACTCTTGGCCGCTTGTAGTTTGTCCGGTGGAAGGCATCTTGGATTGGCGGACACAGGAGGACCGGTTGTGACGATACGGTGACAGGTATCGTGTTTGGGCCCTAAAGTGCCGTCATCTGCTCTAAGGGGAGGGAAATTGTTGCAGTAATGATGAGTAGCGTGGCACTTTAGGCAGAAGTACTTGAAGCTGAACGGAATTAACGGTAGCGTGCTATCCAGAAACAGTTAACGACGTAGTACCATCTCGCAGCCTGCCACATCGCAGGTCTACTACCAGGCCGAATTTGGTGAGAAGGTCAATACAAACGATGAGCGTCTGTACATGGGCAATTAGCAAGATGAAGGTGAAATTTCGTCGCAAACCAAGATTAAGTGTCAGCAGTTTCTGACCATACGTCGCGATCTTGGTTTGGTAATCTGCCTGTAAGGTAATTCCGGGTGGTCGCTTAGCACGTTTTTCTAAGGATCGAGGTATAACACTTACTTCGGCGCTAGTAGCAACCAAAAAATGGAGTTTGGTGGTGGAATGGAAAACGTAGAAGAGGCGACTAATGGTTTGGCCAGCAGCAGCTGTCGCCATCACTGTCTGCCTTTGTCGTTTCCCTGCCGAGAATCCAAAAACGTCTTCGGGTATTTACAACCTGGACGACAAGTGCGAGCAGCATCGCCGAAATGGCGGTGGTAGTAACAGTATTATCGCGAGCGGCTGGTGCAGGATTAACAACGGCGGCCACTTCTTGAGTTTGATCTACGGTTAGCAGGTCGTTCACGACCGATGTGAGACACAGCGAGAGCTAACCTAGAGAGCCGTTCACTAATATCGTCAAGTGGGCTACTTCCAGATGGTACTCAGTCCAGTCACATTATTCCCATCAGCTTTAAAGAACCGTTCATGGACTTTGTCGGCCGCTTCGGCTAGTTTGTCCAAAGGAAGTTCATCAGCCAGGACTGCTAAAATTGCCCTGGTGTTTGTTGGAAGGCACCAAGTCCAGATCTGTCGGAGGATGGCATTGTCCAGGGTCGTGGAACCCACAAGTGAACGCATGTGCCGGAGGCGTTGAGGCGGGCTGCGGTCTCCAAACTCTATGCCTGAAGGTAGCATGTGTAGCCGTGCTTCATCTGAAGCCGTAGTGCGGTTTAGAACGGCTGACTTGAGCTTGTCATACGACGATTCCGTCGGCATCGGATCAAGCATATCAATCACCGCCGAGGCCATCTGTAAAGGAAGACGAGCGGTGACGTATGAATACATCGATGATTGCGAAGTGATCTTACGAATCGGAAGATGGCCTCCACCTGAATAAACCAAGCACGAGGGTTTGAAACATCAAAGATGGGTAACAAAAAGCTATTTGCGTTTTCATCTATTCACGGGGGCAGCCTAGACAGACATAAGGAAAAAATAGAAAAGTAATCAAAAGATTAAAAAGGCATGGTCATTAAATATAGTGTCTGACAGAGAGATTTATAACCGCTGCGAATAGGACCTTAAAACGGTTACTCACGGTCGGGTTGAAATAGGTGAAAATCAACAAACCTGTCCGATGGCACGAACGGAGGAATCGAACGCTGATCGCAAATAGTGGTCCGACGACTGATGCGAAGCACACACAACACTAGAAGGCGGCACAACGTAACCGCAACCAGAAGACGAATGAAATTCGAAAATGAGTATATACCCTTTTGTGTGAGTTAAAACAAATATACCAAAATCGACAAAAGATAGAATAGGGAGTTAAAAGCAAAATGTGAATAATTCATAAACGCCACAGCAACATGCCGCTATACTAGTTGACAGTACACAGTGTTTCGCTATGGATTCAACCCCTTGCAGAAGCCACGGATGTAAATCGGAAGTTAGAGTACTTGGATCACTTGTTCGTTTCACCTCGCAAACACAGGACGCTCGTCAGGCGGAAGCTTGTATCGTCCTTGGAACCTTACGAGGCCTGAGCTGAACTGCTGCCAACATTTTTCTGAGTTCCCGACTGGTTGCTGGAAATTATCCCGCGTGGCGCATTTTTGGTCACTTATCGGTCACCCGACGGAGGGGTTTCGGTCACGTTGCGGTCACTTATCGGTCACTCGTTTTAACTAGCAATCATGCGCATCCATCATTCTGAGTGTGCACTGGAGGCCATTGAATAGGAAGGGAAACTTTTCTACAATCCACGCATTTGGATATCAGAATTATCGCAAGAAAAATTGATAACAGTAGAATTTAGTCACGAGGGTTTATTCAAACATTTTTCTTCACGAGGTATTCACGTAAAACTAGAAAGTTTAGCCCACCAGAAAGTGGTTGCCGCGTCAATGTTTTTAATTTAGCGTACGCAGAGGCTAAAAGTGCTTTAAGTTAGGTTATTGACCTAACTGCGTTTTTGACGGAAATTACTTAGCAAACAACCCTGTGCCAGTGAAAAGTGACCTACACGTCCCCCTGTGACCTTGGCGTTCACTTATTGCACATGATGCTGTGTGTTTGGTTTTCGTGGTCCTTTGTGTACTCGGCGTCTGACCACTTAATGCCTGATCACCAGGTCTAAGGCTGCATTTACTTATTATGCCTCTGTTCGAAAACATAAGAAAATGTGTCACAAGGCGTCATGGATTGCAACGGAGGTTGACGAAAGTTTTTTTCAACGTCAAATTATGTGACTCATTCAAGTCGTGTAATATACCATCCCAACTCAAGGTACGTGTCACGCACTTACTATAAAAGTCTTAGGAACTTTTGGTGTACATAGCTCAAGATGGCGTTACAGTGACGGATCTGTTTCGTAAACCCGGCAACCCACAAGACATCAAAAAGATTATATTGGATCTCGAATCTGGTTATTTCATAAATTGGAGAGATTACAGTTTCTACACGCTTGCAAATGTAGCGAAGAGGTATTTAATACACTTGGATGGGGGCATCTTCGGACGCGAAGCAGAAGATTATTTACTTGAACTGCTTGACTCTCCAGATGATCAGTCACGCATCGAGTCTATGCACAGGTGCGTAGTCACCCACCTATCTGCACGAACAGTGGGTGCGAGACGCTTACTATTTATTTAGCATCTGTTTTCACCTGAAACTCGGATACAGATTTATCAATACCTTTTCTGAGTGGCTCCCATATATTATGCTTTTTCTGTTATTTCGTCAGGATGCTGCTCACACATTCTTATAACGTTACTTTGACATTCTCCTAGCGAGATACGTAAGATATCAACAACGCAACCGCAGTAAACCTTTCAGCGCTGGCCTTGAACCTGCGCCATTAAACATACGTTGTAGTGGGATGGAAGTGTTTACCAACATTCTGATAGCATTTTATAGCAAAGATAACATGCCATTGCAGTAAAAACTGTGTCCGTCGACCACCCCAGTCGCCTACGACCTCGTATGACGGAGTCTGTTGTGGTCTGTAGGATTCATCAGTCGTTCCCACTAAAATCACCAATAACATTAACGGTCACGCTTGTTTGTAACGCAGCCTCTGAAAAGATTATGTGTGGTGTCGCTTTTTTATTCAACTTTCACGACTCATGTTTGCTTGTGTCTAGGACTATCTGTTCCCCGCAAAGTTATACTGCCGACCCCCGGCGGATAAGGTTCGGTTATACGGATGACCTAACGTTTTTACGCCCAAGCCCACATGCTTTCCATGGGCCATCTGAGGCAGAGTTCTGTATCCTCAGTGTGTGCCTTGCACCTTCAAATTTCGAATTACTACCTCAAGACTAGGCTCTAATGCCACCTATTCACACCTTCATCCGGCTTCACTTGAAACAATGGGATGGTTTACTTGGCTCGATACTCGTTTTCTTTGGCTGTCAACTTACTGCGAGGATGCTGCGACCAGCCCGAACCATATATATGGGTGGATCGACTAGTTTACCACTTGAGACTACAGTGCATGCTGCAGTACGAAACCGAACATTGTTGTTCTTTTGTACCTGCGTGATTTTGCTTGTTCATGGCTGCATCACCGAGTAAGCACTGCTGGGATCAAATTTGGTGTGTCTACAGCTCGCTCCTGCACCTACACTGTCCGATTGGGTGATGTCAGGCTTTTGTCCTGTCATCAACAACAAAGCTTAAAGGGTACCAGTAATGCGTCAACACCTTGTGGTAAAGCATCGCTAATATGCGAGGGTGGATGGTTCTACGCAGATTCAGAAACCACCAATGCGCTTGTGGCCGTGAAAACTCGGGCCTCGAACCCGGGGGCGCACTTACTGCAAATTAGACACGACGGTGTGTCGAGGCAATACGAACCAGCTCATCAAAAGGCTTTGTCGGGTTATCTGCAGTCTTCCTGAATGGACCCCGCTAGCTCGGTTACATCAATGCTAGCAAATTCTTCTATGATGCTGTCTCGAAGCTGGCGAGTTTCTTTCACTAGCAATGTTAGTCATACCTGTCGAGCTTCACATTGATTCAGGTCAGGTTAGGTCAACTTCCAAGGACGATACAAGCTTTCGCCTAACGAGCGCCCTGTTCCTTGCACCGGCAAACGAACAAGAGCCCCCAATACTTCGATGTCTGATTAACTTCTGTGACTTCTGCATAGATTGAAGCACACACAAAACCATTCTCTGTACCGTCATGCAGTACGAGGTTACAGTGGCATGATGCGATAAAATTACAAATTCTGGAAAATGTTCAGACTATATATCTAGGTCTATTTTAAAGGCATCTACTATGCTGCATTCTATTAATGCGGGAGATAGCGTATTCCAGCTATTGACTACGCGATTCACAAAGAATTTCGCCCTGATGTCCAGCCCAGATCTCTGATGCTTGGGCTTCAATTGGTGTCCTCGCAGGTGATTTGACCAGACTAGCTCGAACAGTTCAGTATACTGGGTACAACTAAAACCCTCCATGATTTTAAAGGTCTATTAGGTCCCCTCTTAGCCTGCGCTGTTCCATTGAATACAGACCTATGCTTCTTAAGCGTTAAGCGTATGGCTTGTCACGTAAACCCTCAATCATCCTAATCGCCAGTTTTTGTACCTTCTCTATACAGTCGACATCTTTTCGGTGGTACGGTGCCCAAGCCTGTGCATAGTATCCTAGATATGATCTTATCACTGCTTTGTATACAGGAAGAAAAATCTCAGCTCTAATGCTGTGTAAAGATTTTTTGAGGCGAAAAAACCTATTCCGCGCTTTGTAGCATGCTTACATTGCGCTGAAGGTTTGAAGTCGTTCGCCACAATGATGCCTTAGTCTCGTGCTTCATCTGCACGTCACATATCTAGAGGCCTGACGGACGTTAGCACCGTAATCCCTTCGTTTTGAGAAGTCAGTAACTGGCATTTGCTGGTATTTAAGGGCAGAAGAGCCAAATCGTTGATAAACATGCGGAACAATAATAGTACTAAAACAGAACTTGAGAAAAACCCCTGTGCGCAGTGCCGATGCTTGATCTAGCTTCTCCGACTCTAACACGAAGGTTCTACCACAGAGTCTGCAATACAAGTCAAGTGTTGAGCATGCAGCCCAAACCATTCCAGTTTCGCAAGTTAGAACCGGTGGTTAACCGTGTCAAATGCCTAGCTAAGGTCGTGGCAACATACTTCAACTGAGATTCCATCATTAAGACAGCTACTTATTCCATCTAAGAAGCACAAACGATTAGTAAAGCATGATTGCTTAACAAAACCATGCTTGGTTCAAATTAAGTTGTGGTTAACTGAGTGCTCACAAATTTGTTTCCAAATACGCTTTGTTTATACCATTAACGGTTTGAAATTTCGTGTTTGTCTTTCTTTACTTAATGAGCTTTATTCCCAATCACACCGTATTTCATTTCACTGTTGTTTATGACAACACAATTTTCTGGTTTTGGAATAGGGTTGTATTGGTGATTATCTCCATCTGTCACTTGGAAAGTCCAGATTCGATTCCCCGTTGGGGAGCGCTTTCCATCACAACGAGACTGCACCATAAAATGGTGCGACGGTTTGCGTACGTCTTTGACCATTTGAGCCATACTAGGCGGTGCTCCCAAGCCCCTTGTGAGCTGCTCATACCAGACTCAGTGTTCTGGTCCTCCGGGTCGGGGGTTTTAAATGGGATGGCGTCCATCGTAAAACTAAGTCATTGACGCATTCCCGCTACCTTGCGGACGGGCTTTTGAGCCAAAGACTTTGGTTGTGGTTTCTAATCGTTCCCCTGTCTAGATCTGGGCGCCCTGGCAGTATCTCAGTCTCTCGGACAATCATGGCTACTTGAAACTTCAACCACATCTTCCGTCGGTCGTCACGCAGCTTATCAAAGGTCCCCTTATCTGCTGCATACAGCAGGGCGGATAAGCGGAAACACGCCAATGCTAGCGCCTCACTTTCTTTTCCACCTGTTTCTCTTATCCCAACTCCCGTTACTAACCCTTCCATAGTTTTGCGTGTAATTGGCAGGTACTGTAATGCCACTGGAATCAAACCATTTTAAGCTATCTTCCTGCACCACTTACTGGATACTTATCGGTAACAGTCCCTTTTTGGGTCTGGCTGTGCCGTTTCCCCGGCGGCATCCAACGTTCGCACTCCAACACAAATAGGTCGACAGGCTGCACTCGCAGCCACGTTTGACACACTGGGTGTCGACGTGTATTGCGTATCTGGAACTAGGATCACTGAGCCTCACGGCGTTGTTGCATTAACTGCACCCGGCCTGTTCTCTTGTTCGTGATTGCACGCTTCCGGAGGCGCCGTTGCAGCCCTCACGAGGCAAGCTGATGTGGGCATCATTCTCAGCTCCAAGGCTGAATCATCGTTGGTTGGTTGGATTCCGGTAAACAGCCGTTTGTGTGCAGCCCGCTTGACGACATCAACTAAGCTCGATTCACGAGGTACATTGGAACATTGTATTTGATGGGAATAAAAGCTCGAGCTTTACATGACCCATAGGGTACAAAGAGTTCGGGTCGGGTCTAATGAAAGGCCAAGCAACCTTATAGCGGGTTGGACTCGCGTGTTAGCCGTATCTTCATCGGGCTTATGCGGCATTTAAACAGGATGCACGCCGGCTCAAAGCGTGACATTCCACCACGCGCTCCGAAACGGCTTTGGAAAGGAAGTAGATAGAAGAAAAAGAGAAAGAAATTCCATCCAGTAGAAGGTACTTATATTAGGGAATATCGCGGTGTAACTCGGCCAGATGACAGTCCAGGCGGGTCTTAAAGTCCGCCACAGTGGGTGCCAAGACTAAATCGGCAGGCAGAGCATTCCACGGTCGGCAGATTCGCAAAGCAAATTAGTGTCGTCTGCAGTTCAGCCGACTGTGCTGATGTGTGAGCCTCAGTGGGTGGCCACGTAGGTGGGAGCCCGATTGGTGCATTGTGAGTAGGTGGCGACAGGGATGTCCATGATTGGATAAGATCATGAATACAAGTGCAAGGCGCTGTTTGTTTGTGGTTTCCGCCTATAATCCCACCGACTGCAGTTCTGATGCTGCAAAGGACACGCTACTACGCATTGCTACTAGTTCAGATACCGTAGTACTTGCACAAGTATGTCGCCCGGGCTCTTCAGAAGCTCAGCTAAGTGGTCATCGTCATTATACACGTTGGCTGCAGGTAGAAAACACAGCTATTGTGCCGCAATGCTAAAGACAAGAAGAAAAAAATTCAACAATGGTACGCCGGCTGAGTCCCCAGTAACAGATGGACATCGTTCCGGAGAGCTAACGGCCGGCTATCGTGCCGTAAAGAGTTATATTAATCCTAGCGAATGAGATCGTAATTAGAGGGGAGACTAAGCAGGAGGGGGGTGGACAAAGGAACTCATAGCACAAACACCATGGGGACCGGCTCCTAGCCATATCTGAAAGTGTGTCCAACCAAACCTGTGGTCATTATGGGCTTAATTCCAAACCGACGGACATCAACGGGCGTCTGTTGCAGCTTTACTCTGAGCACCAGCTGTTTCATAATAGCACTGCTTTCAGACACAGTAGGCGTCGAGGTGCCACTTGGCGTCCGTCGCAACGAGACTGGACCTTA